TATAGGAAACCCTAATTGGGTTGTACTCGTTATAGAGTACCCCACTGCAGGCTAGACAATTATAACATTCTTACACGCTGCTGCGCTATGGTGTGGCGCGTTGGAAGAGAGCCTTCAGGAATGCTATAATAACAACTTTAGATGCTATATCGACAACATCCTACAGGATTGTGTGGCATGATGCCAACACCTGATGTGAGGCAACCTGATGTGAGGCAATAACGACTCCGCCTGTAAAGGTTATTTCATCTCACATTGATACACCCTGTTGCTCGCTATACTGAAGTTTCGGGAACTGGCTGGCTGATCTTGTCTTATTCGATTTGCCCAAATGAACATACCGAAACATAATATAGCCATGCTTCTAATCTCTTGACTTCATTAAAACGAAATCCATGATGGCGGGAATTGGTGTATACTCCATTCTGGAGCAACCACCCGAAAAATGCAGGGCCGGGAAGGGCATCCGCTTTGCCCAAGCATGCATGCAAAACTGCACCAATTGATGAAATCACTTTTTGACCGCATACTCACGTCTGTTAGAACAGCCTGAGAACAGCTGTCAGAAAAATCTGTTACTATTGGAGTAGGTAAGGAAGTGTCATCTTGTGGGGTGATTTTGCATGAGCGACCACCGTCGATTCGGGTTTGAACGGTACCAGATTTGACTCTTGCTGCCTGCCATGTCTTTGAGCATGGAAGGTGGTGGAGACTGAGGCTTGCGCCACTCAAAATGCAGGAACATTACAATTGATGCCCAACCAGTGCACGCGAATTTGCCTTGCGCCGGATGGAAACGCTGCACCGCATGAGCTCCGCAATTTGTGGGTCATCGGTTGATCTGGGATTCCAGCTCGTTTCTTTTTGGGGCATGGCTTTTTGAGCTTGGGCACAGTTGGAGAGTTACTGTATCTTCAATTGGAAGTTATTGAGGTTTGCCGAATTTTTATCGGCCCGCTGATCACGCAAATGGTTTGGACAGACCTGCCAACCAACCCAAGCTCCAATTTGCATGTCTGGAGCGGCGAACCCTAGATTCATCCGTTGTTGGCTGAGAAGGAGATGTCTCCTCAAATCACCTGTCGCAGAAGTAGGGTAGATATTAAATTTTAATTCAGCAAAAGGAAGTATATACCCTTGTGGCTGCTCTGAATCTTGGGACCCGAATGCGTGGGAAGAAAAGATGCGGTATTCTGCGAACTTTGGGAGCCGAGAAGGCGGGATGCCACTGGGCACTGCACGCTGCAAAGTTTAACAAAACATGAGGGTATCCGAACTTCACAGAGCTAACAAGAGTCGCAATATATAAGGTTTCGAGCACTTACAGTTTAGATGTGGTTAGCATGATTCGTGGTGAGTTCTACTCCTGCGCGATCCATGGCATGTGCGTCATCCGTGGAGGAGAGATTCATTGGCAGGCTGGGCCGAACCGCCAACTTTGGGCAGCACTCGCTTGTGTGCACTGCTCTCTCTCACTCTCAACGCGTCTCCTCCACCTACACTTCCTTTCCTACTGTTGCGCTAGCTCTGCTTGCTCGCTCCAGTGATTTCTTCCATTGGCTAGTACTCCCTACGCGTTACCATACCACTTCCGCGCCCAACAGCCATAGCTTTCCAGCTAAATTATCTCGATCTCCATGTTTCCTTTGTCACTCATGACTACTTTTTACCAGGAACCCTAGTCCTGGAGTAACCAGTTTCCATGCTAAAAATCTTAGTTCCCATCTCCAAATCTCCAGGACCAGCACATGTCAAGCGCGTCTTAATTCGAATAGCACGCTTATTACCGCAATAACTCTTCACGTACTTGCATCAGACACTCCCCTGATCAAAACCGCTCCTGCCACGCACATTTCCTCGCAATGAGGGAGCATAAGCGACGTTCCTTGAGCACCGACCTCCAATCGGAGGCCAAGCCCGGCCGATCGCTCAGCTCAAACGCGATGCACAAGTCCGCGGTGCTTCTGTGCCAGCTATCTGCCCCGTCCTTCCCCGCTTTTCATGTCGTTTGCGACACTCCGCGCGGGCCCTGCCCGCGTTCGCGCAGCCTCTTCTCGGACACGAGCGATGTCGCATTGTCGTCGGCGATTCGTTCCAGTGACTCTGCGATCGCCGCCTGCGCTGGCGACTCACCATGGGACCGAGCGAGCCAGGGCAGCAGCGCCTGCCTGTCGCGCAACAACAGCAGTGCTAGTCGCACGTGCGACGAGCCCGAGATCATCAGCCCCAAGTTGCGACTGCCGACGTCGCGCGAGTTCAGTCGCCTGCGACTCTGCTCGTCGGAGGCGGGCCCGAGCTCGCCTCTTTTTTCGCGAAAAGTCGCTTCGCCGTTGCGCAAGCGCGACGAAAATCCTCGGTTGAAGCGAAAACGGCCACCCATGCTCAACATCCCAGCAAAGGACTCCTTCACGGCGTCGCCGACAACCACGCCGGGAAACACGCCGGGAAATACACCGCGAAGCACGCGCGCACAGGAGGCGGAGGAGGCGAGCGAGCTTGTGGCGGTGGGTCACTCGTACGCCGTGATGTGCAAAAAAGGGCGGCGCGAGTTCATGGAGGATGCTTACCAGGCCATTACGCAGTTCGGCACGTCTCCCGGAAATGTGAGTGTGCGCTCTGCGCGCCGATGCGTGCATGTCATATTTTGGCAGAGTTTTCTCGTAGCTTTCTACCCCTGACCCTCCGCCTTCCCCCCCTCCTTCCCCTCCCCCCCACTTGCCTTCTATCGCCCTCTCACCCCCTCTTTTTCTATCGTCACATGCTGGCATGCGTGTTCCCGTTTGTCTTCTTCCACGCCTCAATCTCACCTGTTTCTCATGCGTATCGCTTTGTCCTCATCAGGCCTTTTTCGGCGTGTTCGACGGTCATGGCGGCACCATGGCGGCGCGATTCGCGGCAGGCAATATCGCGGGGAACGTTCTAAAGGCGGCTCAACAAGGCGCGGAGAGCCCGGAAGCGGCTCTGGTGGAAGGCTTTAAGGAGACTGATAAACAGTTTCTTTTACAGGTAACACACTCATCCACTTTTTCTCCCTCGATCTTCCTCTTTCACCTCGCAAATGGATTCCTCACTACCCGGATTTTCTTGGCCCTGCTGATATCGATTTTATTCAAACCGTTCACTTCCCTCACGATTTGTCTCCGCAGAATCTGGGAAGCGGTTCGGCTGTGGTGACGTGCTGGGCTGCCCCTGGTTCGATTCACGTGGCACATGCAGGCGACTGCCGCGCCGTGCTCTGCCGGAAGGGCGCGGCGAGTGTGCTGACGTCAGATCACAAGGCGTCTCGGGAAGACGAGCGCGACAGAGTCGAAAACCTGGGAGGTCACGTGGATAATTTTACAGGCACATGGCGCGTGCAGGGAGTGCTGGCTGTTACACGAGGCCTTGGTGATGCAAGTTATAAGGAGTACATCACTCCGGAACCGGAGGTGGTTCATGTACCCGTTACGAGAGACTGCGATTTCCTGATTATGGCGTCTGATGGACTCTGGGATGTCGTAAGTCCTTACCCACACCTGACTTGTTCCCAACACCGACTTTCTCGTCAATCTACCTCGAGATCTAGAGACCATATATTTAATCTTTCTTTGTTGCTCATCCACTCACTTTCCTCTTTTTCCCCTGGTTTTTCAGGTGACCAATCAAGAAGCCGTCGACATTGCCCGATCATGCCTCGAAGCCGAGATCAAGGCATTCAAGCGCAACAACCCTCCCTCTGCCAACTCCTCGCTGGCCACCATCCCCTCCTTCTCCTCCACCTCCACCGAATCCTCGTCTCTCACTCTCAACTCCGACGGCAAAGAATCCGCATCTTACGACGGCCTCACAACACCTTCCCCCGACGCTGATTCCAACGCCAAGCTCAACCCATTTGCCCTAAAAACACCCCGAGAGCGTACCAGCAGCGTTTTTGCTGTCGGGAGTCTAAAACAGGTTACCGAATCGGCCCAAGAAGGGGGCAACCACGTCCCGGATATCACTGCATGCCCTTCGGCCGAGGATTCTGATGTGTCATCTAGCAGCGAGGACTGCGGGAATGACGTCAGCGACGGCAGCGAGGAAGGCGAGGGGAGCGAGGGGAGCGAATCGGAGGAGGGCGGAGAGGCGGAAGCTGCTTCGCGAGCCAAGGCGCAGGGGACTGAAGAGTCGGTGAAGTCTGCGCTGCTGCTGGCTTGTCAAAAGCTGGTGGAAGCTGCTGGGAAGCGAGGCAGCCATGATGACACGAGCGTCATGGTCATCTCGTTGGCACACTACATGCTCTAAAGCTGTTGTCGCCTTCTAATATGTCGTCACGACATGGGCAGCCATGACGACACGAGCGTCATGATCGTCCCGTCGGGTGACAGACCAGACCAGATTTGGTCCGCCGAATCCTTAGGGTGACTTCGTGCGTGACCATGATGAGGTGGCGTGCATGGGTCACAGGTACAGATATCGATCCGTTGATTTTGAGGCTCCCTGAAGACCAGGCGTCTCATAGAGCTGGCATGGTGTGCTTATACCACATGGCCTCTCTTCGTTATGAGATTGCGGCCCTGCTGAAATCAAATTTCGTTTTTTTCCCAAATCTGATGGGTTGCGGTCTGCATAAATCTACTTCACTAGCGTATTGAGCTGATGTTGATCCGGGATAAGTGCCAACATGGGATACAATGTTGATGAGGTGACTGCCTACCCTATCTTGTACTTGTATTAGATCCAATATCGAGTTACGGTAAACTAGCTCGAAACCAGGGGAAATCCATCATTAGGTGAAAAGGGTGTACTGTACGAAGGCTTTAGGCTGTCGTCCTCACATTAGTATCATGAAGTGCTAATACGGTACGGTAATAATAATTGTCAAGACTGATCACCAGCAGTAGGAAGTTCCTGCTCAAAGAAATCCATCATCCATGACCTAATGTTCTAATTTGGAAGCCTAACCTCATTTGAAACAGGCCACAGTACAATCCGTATGTGCATGGAGCTGCAGCTAGAGGCTACAATCTTGACTCCATTCTTCATAGGTGCAAGGTCAAATCTATGCACCCGGCCCGACTATCCGCACCATCCAGCTTACTGCTGTTGGCAGCAAAAACATCATTAGCACCGGAAACCTTCTCAGCCCCCAGGTTGCAGGCAAACAGAAACACCGCATCCAGGGCATTTCCACGAGCATTCCCAAAGGCGTCGGCATGGGCATCTTGACCCGCAGGGCATGCTGTGCCAGGGAATTTTCCGTGTGCACTGCAGCCTGGAGTAGGAGCGGTACGAGGAGTGTCAGCCTCGCCCATGCACTCATCAGAGGCAGGTTCAAGATCCGCACTGGCATCTAGACCCCGCGCCTCCCGCACCTCGCACTCGATGGCCATGGCAGCCAGGGCAAGATCCGCATCCTCGCTTTCCACAACCACTGCCTCACTCTCCATCCCCCCTGCCACGTCAGCGGGTGGCAGGTTCAAGTCAGCCGCACACACAGGCCCTGCTGTGGTGGACAATGCCGTGGGCGAGCATGCGGCGACGGCAGCAGGCGAGCATGCGGCGATGGCAGCAGGTGAGCATGACATGAGTGCACCTTTCCCTTGTGAGCATTTATTTTGGGTCGCCCCAAGAACCAGTGCGGGGGGCGACCGTGGAGCAACATTGGTGGCGGAACATGAGGTGTGCCCGCTTCCCCCATGCGGCTGCAGTGCTTGCCGTGTCTGGAGCAGGCGTGCTTGTAGCAGCTGTGCTTGCGCCAGCCGCTCCTTGATGGCTTGCATCAGCTGCTCCCGCATCTGCCCCTCACACGCCCCGCCACTCTCCCCCACCGCCGGCTCGCCCACCATCCCCACATCTCCATGCTCCCCTGTAGGGCTCGCCATTTCTCCACCGCTCTCCACCGCATGGCCCTCACACAGCACTGCAGTCCCCAGGGTCAGAAGGCCCTTGTCTACAGGTCCTGAAGGCTCCAATGCAAGCCCTGCCTTGGCCCATGAAGCGGGCGTAACTTCCTCGTTTGACGGCGTGACGGGCGGAGTGGGAGGAGAGGCTTTGCCTGGAGTGCTGCCTTCTGCTGTAGTGTTGCGTTTTGCTGACGGGCGCTCTGAGAGCTTCTGTTGGGCAGCAGCATCAACATCAGCAGCAGCGACCTTGCACCTCTTAAGGCAGCGTGCTGGCGAGGGCACCTCATGCCTCACTCCGCCACTGCCACTCACGGCAGCATCACCACTGCTGCTGCTGCAGCCCTTATTCTTGCTCACGTTGCCGCCACCGCCGTTCCTGGCGCCGCCGCCGCTGCCCTTCCTCCTCCCGTTGCCGCCATTCCTGGTGCTGGCGGCGCTGGTCTGCGCGTGGTGCATGCCTTTCCGCTGCATGCTCTTGCGGTGCATGGTCTTGTGACCCCCTAGCGCATGCACCGTGGGGAATGTGCGCCCGCACAGGGCGCACGAGAATCCGCCGCTTCCGCCAGCGCCAGTCGCGCCTGTAGCGCGAGTCAAGCCAGTGAAGCCGGTAATGCTGGTCAAGCCAGTCAACCCAGTCAATCCAGTAATGCCGGTCAAGTCAGTCAAGCCAGTCAAGCCCGTCAGGCGGCGGAAAAGAGCTTCTGGCAGAGAGCCCATCCCTGGGCCGCCACGTGGCAGGAGCAGCTCGGGCAGCGCGCCGCGAGGGATTGACGCGTGGCGGAGAGAGAAGAGCGCAGGCGACGTCGGCGGAAACGAGGCAGGACTCGCATGAGAAGCGGGAACCGAAGCGGGAGTGGCACGAATGGGGGCGAGACCGCGACCGTGACTTCCCAGGCCGGCAAATGCGGTGGGTTTGGCGCTCGGTGAAAAAGCCGACGGGGAAGTAGCTGGTCCTGCTAGACTGGCGAGGGGTCGCGGGCTGGGGTTTGTGCCGGCGACGGCGCCATCGTCATTGGCGCGGGGGCGCGCGGTGGGGTGGGCGGAGGAGCAGGGGCGCGCGGGGTGGGCGGAGGAGGAGGAGTTGGCGAGCATGAGAGACATGAGACGGCTCGGATCATCGCCATAGGTGCTGCGCCGCGCATCCCGCTCGTCCCGCCGCTCGTCGCGCTCGTCCCGCTCGTCCTGCTCGCTGTGTCGCCGTTTCAATGCGCGCTGCGTGTGCACCGTGAGAAACCACGTCGGCGCCGATGGAGCCGACGCCGCCGCCGCATTGGCCGCTGCAGGGCGACTGTCGGCGTGGCGTGGAGAAACATCCGCCATGTGGGGAAATGCGGCTGGTCGCGGCCACCGGAAATGCTGCTCCTGACCGGCGGAGAGGAGATAATCGAACGGCGCTCGTTCAGCCTGAAAAAGCGGTGCTGATTCGAATGAAACGCGGTAAGTGGAAGTGAGCTCGTTGCCGCAGGATGTGGTTGGCTTAGACGAAGCTGAGTCGATGCGCGAATGAAGGGGAATGACCATCATCGGAAGAAATGTCTGCCTCCGCCCTTAACTTAAACGTTGTGGGACGAATCCAAATCACTCTTCAGAGAGTTCTTTACAGCGGTAGCAGCTTGGACAACTGGAACGACTGGGATGATTACTGATAGCAATCAATGCTTCTGCTGCTGCTAGGTACGAGGACGACTATTCAAGTGAAATGCCATCGGGATAATGCTAATGCTGCTGCTGCGCTGTGATGCGCTGTGCTCGCACGAGCGTTAGTGCCTGAAGGAATTGGGACTGCTTCTCGGCGAAAGAGGAAGCGCGGAACGACACTGGCGGAACGACGCTGCGCGGAGCCGTGCGGCAACTGCAATGTTGAGTTGGAGTTGACACTTCCGAATTCTGAGTGGCGCGGCTCTGGAGATGTGTCTGTGTGTCTGTCTGACTGTGTCCCTGGAGATAAGAATGCCGCCATGTGACAGCCGATGCTCCCCCGATGGCGACTCATGCAGTATCCCCCAATGGTGAGTCATGCAGTACCCCCTGCAGCACTGCTCCTAGCAGTGCAGGCACGTCGGGAATCGGGATCTCCGCGTCACGGCGCGATGGTGTTTTGTGCTAGCGAAAGCTGGCCGTTCGATGGATGGGGTTACCGTACATCTGCGGCTGGCGCGAAACGCTGCACGTTGCTGAGGCAATGCTGACCAGATGGGACGAGCGGAAGTATCTACCTCAATGGTTCAAGTTCTAGCGGTACACTACCTGGCACGGCGAGTATCTAGGGGAAGTATCATGATAGTAAACACAGGTGCGCCACGGATGACCAAAGTATCACGTCAGCTTCGGCATGGGGTCGTCTCGTCGCGCCGCATTCGCATGGCTCAACACTCCGTGCCCGACAAACCCGTTCTGTTCGTTACCCCGTTAAACCGAACCCGAACGCACCAAACCAGCATTCACCTGTGCGACTTATGACCTACGATCCGTTCGCTTGTCGCCCGTCCGTCCCTCTCACAGCCCAGCCTTCCTTCCTATGCCATGGGTGGGTCTCACATCCCGTCAAGACAACGCCCCATGTTCAACGGGGCCCCACCCCATCCACCCCTCCCTCAGTCTTCCCGGTGGAACCTGAGGAGGAGAATCCATACACGAAGGGTCCGGGCTGATCTGAGATGCCAGAGGCGTGGCGTGAGGCGGACGGAATGCGCTGATGATGTTGCTGACGTCACGCGAGTTTATCTGGACGCAGATATTTATGAACTGGAGAGCATGCCTTGCTGGTGATGTTGCTGGCGACATTGCTGAGGATCCGTGTTTCGCTTTTCCCAGGATTGCCGAGAAAGGCTCCCCAACAGCCAACGATATGCGAAGAAACCTTGGCAGAAACCTTTACACCCTAATGCTCACTCAACCACCCACTCTGAACACGCTCTCTGCCACTCCATACGCCCAGTGGTCGACATTCACAGCCAACGCCCCGCGCGTTACTAGCCCACGACAAAACCAAGATATTCTTGACCTCGAAAAAGTTATTCGAGTTTCCCAGACAAGACACGCTAGGCTACCCAAATACAGTCCCATTCTCCCCATGGGAGCGCGTGCTCGAGAGAGGAGCACAGGGAAAGATGGGGAACGGGACTGAAATAGGCATCAGGTGTACCATGTATGGTAAAGCTCAACGGATATGGTGGCAGTGTAAGGAAAGGACAGAGAGACCACGGTGGCGCACCTTACACTACACGCGCTTTTGTTGGTGAGTCGACATGATGGCGCGAGCAAGATTCTTGTACAGTCCCGAAAAGTCAGGACAACCCATTTCTTAGGACCAAATAGTAGAAGAGCCTCGGGGGGCCTGAGGAACAAGAAAACGTCATTATTACTGCGGAGGAGGAAGAGGAGGAGCACGACGTAGAGCAAGATGCGGCGAAATCTTTGACGAGTGGGAGGGCACTAGTAGCACAGAGTTACACACGAGTGACCAGTCGTGAGTGTTCGCACGAAAGAACAACAAAGAAAGCGAGGCGGTGATGGAAGGCTGGTGGAAGGTGTGGGGGGCACCGCAATGCTGCAAAGACCACCGAATACTGTACCAAGCCGATGCGCTGAGATGCGAACGAGCGCGCCGCGAAGTCATACACTTCTCACGAAGTGGGCTGGGCTGGGAAGTCGGATACAGTACAACGACTTGAACGAGAGCATTTGCCCCAGTGAAGACAGACTTCGCCTCCTGCGCAATGCTATAGTTCTCACGTGGTAACGGAGGCCCACGTGCTCCAATGAATGATCCTCAGGCGGGCGCCGTGCCCGCAAACCAAAGCTCCGACTGTGCCAATTCGCGCCGCGGCTCACCCAACTGATCCACACATGCACGTGAAGAGACAAAACCACATGTACCCCATTATAGGCAACATTCAGACAGCGCACAGCTGCACTACTAGCACATTACTCATAGAGAGGACGCTAAAGTGAACTACTTCCTCATCACTACAAGAAAGTGCAATTGAATAAGAACTGTGTAATAGATCTACTTAATCCTTACTGAGTCATGCTACCACACGTACAACTCCAGTTTTTTACAACTTCCCCCCCCCCCCCCCCCCCCCGATAGTGGGCCCGCGTTGCCTTCGGACTTGGCAGCCGTAGACCAGCCCCCAACCTCGCCTTTAGAGGTTCCTATCTACTTATAACCCGAAACCTGAATTCCAAAAAGTATTTGGAGGTGTTTAACACTTTCCCTCCCGAACCAGGGTGGTTACTAGGTTTTCATAGGCAAAACGTGAAAGAAGTCGCAAGCAGCACATGGAAGGGTCGCTCGTTTCCCGCGCAACCACAATGGGCTGTAGTGTGCACACCAAACAGTGTTTTGTAATGCAGGTCGTCAAAAGCCGCCTATGAGAAAACCGAAACGAGAATGAATGAACTATGAATGAAGTGGGTACAAGTACTAACCCTAATTGGGTTGTACCCCCTATGAGATACCCCACTACAGCATACACAAAAGCATAAGCTATAATGGTCTGACACACCCCCATAGGCAAAGTGGGGGAGAACAAGGGGTCACAAGACCAGTCGAGCAAAGCAAAACAAAGCAAAGCTCAGGGTGGATCACAAAGTTACCACACATTCCGAGCACAAGTACAAGGCCACAAGGCCAGTTCACATGCAGGAGTACATGTATATATAAGGCTAGACAAGCAAGAGCAGGTATATATATATATGTAACAGTACAAGCAAGGTCAAGAGGTGAGCAAGTGAGGCAAGACATGGACAAGACCCAACTGAGTGCAGAAGCGCTGATGATCACAAGGCGGAAGTGCCTTGGTGAAAACATCAGCAGTGTTGGCCTCAGAGGCCATGTACGCAAGCCGCAACTGTCCACGCTGCTGTAGCTCACGAGCAAGGAAGTAGTGGAGAGCAATGTGCTTTGTTCTGTGCTCCAGTCGCTGCTCTCGACACAAGGCCAGCATGGCCTTGTTGTCTACGTACAGGACTGGAGGAGAACGAGGCGGCTCTCCGAGGTCAGTCACCAGGTAGGTGAGCCTGCGAAGCTCCTGTGCAGCCATGGCCCCAGCGTAGATCTCAGCCTCACAACTGGAGCCGAGAACAGAAGACGAGCGAGTAGCCCGCCACGAGACAGAGCCGGAACCAAGGCTGAAGGTGTAACCCTGTGACGACCGCTGCGTAGCCTGGTCGGCAGCCCAAGAAGCGTCTGCGTGCCCTGTAAGGACCACTCGACTGCGCCCTCCAAGCACTAGCCCCATGCCCGACGTACTGCACAAGTAGCGCAACACCCTCTTCGCTGCAGCCATGTGCTCAGGTCGGTGTCTCCCAGGAGCAACATAGCGTGCGAGAATGCTAAGAGGGTATGCAAGGTCAGGTCTTGTGCAGGTCATCAGGTACATGAGACAACCAACAAGCTCTGGGTACGGGCCACTCGACTCTACGGACTCATCCGAAGGCAAAGCTGAGAGCGAGTGGCGAGTAGGCAGAGGAGTGGCCTGAGGCGAGGAGTACGTGAAGCCGAAGCGCTGAAGGACCTGCTGCACCATGTGTGACTGAGTCAGGGTAATGGTACGGCGTGCTCTGTCCCGGGTGATCTGCAAGCCAAGGTAGTTGCGCAATTCACCCAGGTCTGTGCACGTGTGTCTCTTCTGTAGCTCAGACTTCACGTAGGCGAGTCCAGCAGTGTCAGCTGTGGCAAAGACCAAGTCGTCGACGTACACGAGGATGTAGAATGGCGGCAGAGAGGTGTCGGTGCGTAGAAACAGCGACGGGTCGGCAGTAGAAGGAGCAAACCCAAGAGCCGCAAGTGTAGTCCTCAGTGTGTCGTGCCACTCACGTGGAGCCTGGCGGAGACCGTAAACTGGACGCCGGAGGCTCCACTGGGTACCAGGAGGGAACGACCCGGTGAAGCCAGGTGGGCGGCGCAGCCAGATCTCCTCGTGCAGGCTGCCCTGCAAGAAAGCTGTGCTGAAGTCCAGAGAGTGCAGCTCGTAGTCACGGTGAGCAGCAACGTGCAGCAGTACCCGAAGAGTGGTTATCTTCGGGGTAGGAGAGAAGGTCTGAAAGTAGTCAACTCCCTGCCGCTGACTGAAGCCACGAGCCACGTAACGTGCCTTGAAGACAGGCGGAGAACCCGGCGGCCGCTTCACTCTGAAGATCCACATGCCACTGACGATGTTCGCCCCAGGAGGGTGAACAGCGTCAACGTAGGTGCCTGTGGACTTCCAGGAAGCCATCTCTGCGTTCATAGGTGCCTGCCACTGAGAGGAGTAGGGACCCTCTATCGCCTCCGCGTAAGAGCGCGGAGTCGGGATGTCAAGTGCATCCGGGTC